AAAATTGAAGGCACTTCTGACACTCTCGCTTTTCTCACTTCTTAAGAGATGCACAGGAGTTGTCAGTTGTAGCTTTCTAGAGAGAATACCTATATGGGGAGAGTATTAACACTTGGTGACCAGGGCTGGATTTACGTACTTGCCGCCCATGGGCCGCCTGTATTTTGCCGCTCCCTTCTCATTCGTTTTGAAACATCAATAAAAACCATCAAGTGAACATGCCGGATGGGGAGGAGTGCATGGGACGCATTTACTTGTGTAGGACACATTTTTTGCGAAAGCCCTGTCAACACTACCAGCAAAAGTTTGCGGAACTTTGCGCAAAAGTTAAGTTCCGTAAACCTATATCTGTGTGGACAACGCCTTCCATTTACCTAAAGGAATGAACGAAAAAATTATGAAAGAACGAACATAAATGTGGATTGATAAACTAAACCTCCGCCGCGCCGCGCCGCGCTGTATTTGACGCAATGCGTGAAGTATTCCTACAGTCTTGTAGGCGCTAGGAGTTTCACGTTCACGCCGACCGCTGCGGAACGCAGTGTGTTCGACGCAATACGTGAAGTATTCATGCAGTCTTTTAGGCGCTAATATGTGTTACAATGTTACATGCCGACCGCCGCGCCGAGGACTTCTCCTTTTCATCTCAAGTCCGAAAAAAGGCCGCCGCGCCGTTTCAGGCCAAATTGCTTGTTTGGTGTCTCTTTTAACTCGACTTATTAAAGGTGCTGTTTCTCGTATCACCAAAAGAAGACAAAATTAGAAATTACCATTCCTTTACTCTCATGAAATGAGCGATTTTGTGGCCTTTTTTCGTTTGTAATTTTATTTCTGAATCCGATTTTTTTTAAATTTCTACGTTTGAACAAATTGATCAAATAAGACCAAGAGCAAAAAACCAATAATTGAATCGGTCACTTTTAAAAAGACGAAAGCGCTAGAAATGAAAACACGAGAAAAACATTGGAACATCTGTAATAATCGACCCATTCAATTTTGTAGATTATATAATAATGTGATTTAATCATTCATTGCTTTAATATTTCAGAGCTCTGAAATTTAGAATAGGTCGGTTAAAACGTTTTTTTACTGTTTTTCTCGTATTATAATTTCTGGCGATCGAGTCTTTTTCAGAATGATCGATTCAAAGTGGTGATTATCCCGAACTACGAATACTGCGCTGACTTTGAGTTGACTGCGGCGCATTGATACGACTATTCGTGTTCTGCGGATGTGCGTGTTGCGTATTCAGAATTTGAAGGCACTTTCGCTCACATCACCTCATCAGGAATGTATGAAAGTTGTCGATAGTTGTTACACCCAAATAAGAGAATGCCTATGTGAAGAAACTTGGTACAGCATCCTAATCCTTTTACTTAAAAAAAAATTGCCGCTCTCTGATTGGTCAACGAATGTCAGGCTCTCATGAGTTTTCTGATTTCCAGTCATTGAAATAATTTCTTAACAAAACTTGAGGGATACTTTCGCCAAAAATTACTCTGAATTAGAATGTTGTCATGTGTGTACAAGTTAAAATTTTTAAAAAATAATTTTTGTCGATAAGCGTGTTTTATTTCCGATATTATTTGTAAGTAAGTTCGTTCATAGAATACGCGACTCAAAATTTCAGCGTATCAACCCCCTTTGCCTCCGTCGTAGATGTTTGAGACGTGGGTTATCCTATCCTTTAACATGTAAAAACAAAATGGCGTAACTTTCTCTTCCCTCCCCCTCCCTATAGCATATGAACGTTCAACGTATTTTATAAACGGCCGCTCATACGGTCAATGAGGGACGCCTCCATTTTGCAAATAAAACGTATCGACGCTGTGACTTTAGTGAGGGAACCACAATTTTCAAGAACGGTTTGATTCTACAACTGACTTTCGACGACGAAACTTCCAAACCATGTACCTCGATTGCAATGTCTCAAAATCTCTATTCCTATTTTCTTTTTTGAAAAAAGACCAAACCAACATCATGACTTGAGATTTTCACTGAGGATTCTCCACACAGAGAAAAAGAACCATGGAAAGTTCCAAGAGTTGACGTTAAGCAGTCTTCTATTTGAAGAATTAAATATGAAAGGAAGTCTGCAACGTCGCAAACCGAGATACGTGGTTTGGGAGTTTCACCATCGATTTGCTTGTTTTTTAGGAGACTTACAGGTCTTGTGGAAATTGAAAGTACTATGGGTTAATTTCCAAAACTTACTGTTATTGCTGAAGGAAAATTGAAACAAGTCTTTCGCTAATTCTGCTGGGTTTGACAAACTGCAGTCTGGCCAACCTTTTGCCTGCTCTCAATTGAGGGGATCGGAGGACAAGGCACATAAGTGCAGTTTTTGAAAAAATCGAGATATTAATTATTTCAAGTAAAACTAGTCTTAAGGCATATTCTGTGAAAAAATCGCTTCCAAATTCTAATTTTTAGGCATAGAGAAGTCAGTTTGAACTTTCTTTCCACCATGAGGATCGATGTAATTTCGAAATTTCTATCACATATTTCTCTAGATAGCAGAAATTGCAATTATGCGCCGTGTCCTCCAAGCCCCTCAATATTGTTTTTTCATCTAATTTTTCATGCTCCTCTAATTTTTGCCTGCAGCTTTTATCGAACGACCCAACGTAATTTGTCTCCATAATGTGGTCTGAGCTTTGATGTGCTGGTTGAGAACCATGGGCTTGGTACCTCTACCTCTGTCCACTACCTACCGCACATTCGCAACGAGTGGAGGCGGTGCAGTGTGAGGGCGGACCTAATCAAGTCCCAGGCAGGCGGGGGAGGGCGGCAGACTGTCTTTCTCCAAGTTCGTTTCTTTCGCGGCTCCTATCTCGTTGAGTGAATACGGAGCTTTGAGATCTTTTCAAGAGGATCAAGGCAAGGTTCGCACGACATAGTCTGACGACTGACGAGTATAGTTGTCAGCTCGTCATATACGCATAAAAAAATGTCATTTCATCACAATTTATTTGTAAAAAGGCAAATAGATAAATCAATCAAGAGTTAGTCAATTTGGCAACGTTAGAAGGTACCAGCGTTTTTTCGTCCGGGATACGACGATATGTGAGTTGTTTCAACGTCAAAAACACAAAATAAAATAAACACACCGTTATAATGTGCTGGGTAGATAATGCGCTAAATGTACCATTACGTGTTGTATTAAAAACGGAGCGGAAATGCCGACATTTGTGTAAAAGCAACTGTAATCCACATTTTACATATTCTCCACGGAGTTACTCAGCATCCGTTTAGCACTCATCTTATCAGCGACTTTCTATTTCAAACTCATTTCAATTAAACTTATTTAATTCTCATTGTAGGCTCTGTAGTAAAAACTCACTGAGCATACCTCCTTTATGCGGTAGCATTGCCAAATGTATTGCAATTTGCAAATGATACGTGTTCGCTGAACATGTTAGCGAGGTTGACACCCGCAAACATTTTGCCGGAACGTTCTCGGTAGAAACTGTGTGCGAAAACATATTCTGGGAGATTCTTTCGCAACAAATTTTAATATAGAGATGACAGACGCGCAGTTCAAGGCAACTACACAGTATGAAAAAATAATCAAAATTGTGTGTTAATATGGGAAGTAAAACACGAAGTAACACAATTTTTGGTCTTACTTTCCCCTGCGTCAAATTGACTAAATCTTTGGGTTGAGGGGGCCAAATATTTGTGTTGAAAATCTGCGACCTCATCAAAAGTTAGGCGCTAGCCGCCAGGACCAAATCTGGATCGCATCGGTTGTAATCATATGTGCTAGCCACCTGCAAGTCGCAACCTCTGAGTATGGGTAGGAAAACAAGAGTATACGTAAAAGTTCCGCAGGACACTTTCTTCATGCGCCGATGTCTCTGAGTAACCTATGGTTTGGGTCTATTTAACCCTAAATGGTGTTGAGCAGCCAAGTCTTTTGGGTTGATCTGACACAAAGAAGTAAAAAAAGTAACACAGAGTAACACCGCGTATCGCCAGCATTACGCGGCGGCACGTATGCGGAACGCCTTCAATTTTCTCGCCCCGCAACCAGGACATCCATCGAGCACGAATAGTTGCATCCAGGGGTTACACAAAAACCAGTCACTTCCGTTAACCTATACAGTTACAATGAAGCTGATGTGTTCTTTCATTTTAGAAAATGTATATAATGATCTCTTTTCCTTTTCATTTCCCCCTAATAATCTACAAATAAGCACACCCTTACAAGTCCTTTCACCGAAGATGCCCTCTTTTACCCTCTTCGAACTTTTTACTCGAACAGATCGCTCAACTTCGTAATAGTAGTGTCATCAACCCAAGATCGAAGTTGATGCCTGAAAATATTTTATGCTGCATGGGTGGCTGCACTGGACAAAAAGTCATTTGGATCTAGAGTTTAGACTCTTAATAATATCGACAAGAAAATGAACTCTTGATTCAATCAGATTTTTTCTTGAATCGAAGAGCCGAGCCTCTTGATTTAGGCGGATTTCCTTTCGATTCAAGCAAAAGTCCGATTGAATCAAGAGTATTTTTTCTTGTTAATGTTTTTAAGAGTCTGTATTCTATAGATCCAAGCGACCTTTTTTTTCCCAGTGTGCTATTAGCGTAGGGTATACCCGGGGTATCATCTAGGGGTCGTCCCTTAATTACGTTACGCAAGTTTGACCCTCCTACCCCCTTGTAATGCTATAGTGATATAGTTCTCTATACCTTAACACGTAAAAACAAAATATGGTGTGACGTTCTCCTCGGCCCCCTCCCCCCTAGAGCGTTACGTAATTTAGGGACGGCCCCCAACTGCAAAATCTAGTCCGATCTCTTGGTGTAAAATAGCGTAAGGCGTGAAACAATTAGAGTACTTGACATTATGAAGGGAAATGGACGCTGGCAACGGTGCGATGGATCGCCGAATCGTTTGAATCGCGTCGGGGAGTTTTATCAGTTTTTTCACCGAGTTTCGAGTTTCTCAGCTCATGCCGGAGCCGCGACTGAACCGCGCTGATACTACAATCAGCGCAATCATCAGTCTCCTGCCGGCAGTCCCCGCGCGCGCCAACAACGCCTCGCGACCCAACATAACCAAAAAGTCTCGTGTTTATGTTGTCAGTGCGCGCACGAGTAGTCCTCGTACCCTCCGACTCGCAAGAAATGTTTCGTTAATCGGTTGGATTCCAGTTTTTGTGTTTTTAAAAAAATTAATAATTCAATTTTTTGGTATCAATTTTCAATGATCCAATTATAATAATTTTAATATGCCAGCAAAAATTACCAAGCTCTCAGGAAGTAAAGTGTGCTCAAAACTATGTAGCTGAGGGATATTTCACATTTCCCCTCTTTTTTATCTTTTTTTCTCCTTTTTATCTGGAAAATTATCTCTGAAGTCTCTCTTTAATTTTCACAATCGGGTTCCTTAAGGTTTGGTACCGGGAAATTTACACACGCTACTTGAGTACCAATGGGCCAAAAAGTGTATTATCTTTGCCAAGCAAGCCCATTACGTGGTTAGCATTCACTAAAAAAAGGAACAAGTGACAATAGTGACATGGACCTGGAACGCAGAAAAATAGGTGTATAGCTTCAAATCATTCCTGTACGAAGCTAAATGAGGAGCTCTCTGGAAAATGGGCCCAAGTCGAAAAATCGCGTTTGGGCAAAATGCATCTGAAGTTTTAACCGTTACTTTCTAGCAATTGAGGACGGTGATGGAAATCGGAGGCTATGTTCCGATGTTAGTTACCATTAGTGGCTAGAATGTACCTAATAATGGAAAAAAATTCTCAAACGCGATTTTTCTCTTTTCGCTATTCGGCCCTTTTCCGGAAAGCTTCTCAAATACGAGAAAAATTCAGATGAAATGCAAATGTTAATAAATTTCGTGCGCATTGAATATTTTTTGCGCTTTTTAAATTTTTGGAGAGAGAAAATAGATATGTTTGGAGACAGGACCAAAACTGTTCTTTATTCAATTTTTTTTTAAATAAAGTGTGTTTCAGTTTCGTTTTTATTAAACGATGCCATTGTAATTATCACTGGATCAGTAGACAAAGAGAACTTGTTGGAAAATTCACCTTTGAAATACGGATTCTTTGAAAGAATGAGTACCTAAAAAGTTTAACATTCAAGTTTTCAGCAGATTGAAATTTGGACGAAAGTTTAAGGGTTCCCATTGAGTTTCTAACGGTGAAAAGATAAATATCGAGGCTTTTCTACGCCGAGTACCGCTACCTAAAAGTAGTGCTGGAGATCGACTCGCCCATTTCCATCCTTACATTTAATCTTATAATGAAGTGCGGATATTAATAAAATTCTGATTAAGTGTCTTAACACGTTGGGGTAGGTTCCAAGGACAGTTGAATTCAGATAACAACTGTATCCACGTTGCAAATAAAAGCCCATATTATTGGTTTATATGAAAGAAGATAAGCTTTTGCATAGTGATGCATGGCATGCTTCACAATTATTCTTCATTGTTTTAGCAACCAATTCTCGCACACATAATCGCGATTTCGTCCATACTAATACCTCCAAAAAATGCAGTTTTTTTTAAACGCGTGAGACATTGAATATCAGTAAGTTTGACAGTGTACTGTTGTAGATAAAATTCTGAAATTATATTTTTTGTGCTAAAATCTAATTCAAAGCATTCGACTTGGAAAAATGAGCGTAGTTGCAAATGAGGAATTTAACGAAACATAGGATTCAGGTAAACCATTCAATAGGAATGTTCTCTGTATACTTAAACACACCTTGCACGATTTAAGACCAAAATTATTCATTCTTTTAAAACGCTCAGAAGTATAAATATCTTAAAAACTTTTTCAGAAATTCAAAATTTAATCGCGGGATAGTAAACGGACACTTGTCATTATATGAATGCATGCTTATCTGAAGAAGAATGATGCCGTATATGGAACCTTTTTGCTATATAGTTTGACTGGAAAATGTAGAAGCGAACTAATTGTACAAGCCACAATTTGGATAAAATGAGTCGGCAGAGGTTTCTAGATCAAGTAATCGCACATTTTCTTTCATCAAAAATTAAAATATTTTGAATGTGAAAATGCGGGTTGGGCCTCATTTGTGACACTGTACCGTCTAGAGGACCAAAACTCTACCCCTCTTTTTATCGGTTCTAACTTGATGCAGTAGCGAGGCGTGGATGATCGATTATCGATATTTCCTCATTTGAAGCTGTGGTATAGAATCGATTATTACGGTTTTCGTTGCGAACACCCTGTTTATCGATCCTTTTCTAAAGGTTTGAATGACAGATCAATCGATACATCGCAAGGTACGCCACCCCACTGACTTGATGTGATTTGGTGGCCCCTTTCAACTGAACTCGTCCCAATGATCGAGGAATCATCATCTCAAACATGATAAAATGACACATTGCCTAACAAAGGTGTTCGAGTGGCGTAAGTCCATGCGCACATGACTGATGCTCATTTTGACCCTTGACGTATGGATACACCTACATATGTTATTTAAAAAAAGGGGGGGGGGAGGCCATTCTGCTCATGGTAATTTTTTGAACTTAATCGTCACAAGCCTATGGCTTGGTTACAACTCCGATTTTCTATCACACATTTTCCCTCGGTGTCAAGCCATTTGTATTGAACACGGTGAAGAAACTCAGGGGAACCTTTCCAGATGGAAACTTTTCGTCAAAATTTTAATCTCGTCCATTTAAAGCTTCAATCGCTCTAATTTATGTAAATATCTCTCAGCTCGGTGATATAACCGTCTACGTTTTTGGATCAAGTAGACTGTATGTTTACTTTGGAAATAGATCTATACTTTAGTGATAAGGAGTGAAGCGAGAAGCTATAACGAAGTGTTCGTCGCTAGGTATCGCAGCCCAGATCGAGTGTTGTTCGCACACAAATTTTCAGGTAAGGTTACTTCCTCACTTAAAGTGACTAATTTTTAGTGTCCTCGAACTAATTTTTCTGCAGCATTTTTCTTAAGCATGCCAGACTGCGCATGCAGCGCTCGCGTGAGTTTTCACTCTCAAGAACAAACTTTTTCAGCTCTGAATTCAGGTCATCAGCCTTCTATCTTTGAATTAATAGCAGAAATTATCAATATTTATAACTTTCAAACTAAATGCCCCGCAAAGTCTCATGCTTTGCAGTTTGCCTCCGAAAACTTTTGAAAACAAATTACACTTTATATTTTTATGCAAGAAGCAACGGAGGGTGGGCTGAGAACCATTTGGACTGCATTTTGCAATTTGGAGCCATAAATTCTGGCTGATCTGAAAAAAACACTTTTATGCATAGGGAAACTAATGGCGCATAAGTTGTTTTTTAGACCGGGTCGAAATTTATAGTTCCTAATTGCAAAATGGACCGCGTTAAACAGAAAGGAACCAAGCCACATCAGCTATTGCCAAATTTAATCGGGCAATTTATTTTTTTACATGAAAACGGTTGTGCGGTTTTTTGTGCAAATTTCTATGAATTTTCTCCATAATACAAAACAAATTCCTTAACATTTTCGAAGGAGTCCGCACAAACGTTCTCTCGTAAAAAATCAAATTCCCCTGTTAAATTTGGCAATAGCTGATGTGGCTTGGTTCCTTTCTGTTTAACGCGGTCCAAATGTAGTCCTTTTAATCCACTAATCTCTACGAAGGAAAAATTTCTACCAAATTTTAAGTGCATGACGTAGATCAGCAAATCTCTTTTATTGCATCAGAAGCTGGAATTTTTTCCGGTTTCCTCTCTCCAACACAGGTCGTCCGAGGAGCGTCGGGATTGGTCTCTCTTCGAGCGACATCTCAATATTTTTTGACAAAATGATGATGTATTCATGACAGTTTGGTCCAAAACGAATCTGTAATGATGCCGGTTATTGTTGTTCAATATGTAAAACCCGAGCCGAAAGAATCATAATTCGCTGAGTCGAATTTTTCATGGGTGTAAATTACTCTTAATCTCCAGGGTCAGCCTTTATTGAAGCGTCTCATGCACTTATTTTCATTTTACTTTATTGACTTTGACCACCACCGATAATTTAAATCATTTAACGAGGAAAATGATTGGCTTCGCCGCAAATTCAATATAGAGAATGCATCTACATGATTTTGAAACTTGGAAATGCACCATTTCTGAAAAGAAAGTATTCAATTCCGCACGAAAAAACACACGAAAAACCCGCACTGGTATAGATGCATGTGAACATCTCACTAACCGTTGCTGAAAACAAACAGTAAAAACATATGCTATTGCATTGGTGTTTGTATGTTTTGGATTGATTTAACATTAGGCACCGGTTTCTTTAGTGGTTCACTGGGACTTTTTTTTTTTTTTTTTTTTTTTTTTTTTTTTTTTAGTAGAACACATGGGGGGAAAAGGTCGTCAAAGATGGATGAGCCGGCGTTAGTCGATGAGGCACGAATCCCTTTTCTTTTTTTTTAAAAAAATGGAAAATTCGGTCACAAGCATTGGGCTCGTTTCCGCATTTTTATCAAGTAGCTACTGTTTTACAATTTTTTTTCTTTTTTTGTTAGTAATGAAGCAAAGGGCATAATCCCTGGAATTAAGTTGGAATGGCGACTTTTCTGAGTGTCAACTCTCTGTCCCCCTCTCCTTCCTCACTAACCAATGAATAATCTCTCTTAACAGACGTTTTCTCTGACCTCGATAAAATATAAACCTACAGTTTCAAATTTGTATCTTTTGTTCAAAGAAATTTGATTTCCCAACACCTCCGGACGACCCTGAATAGTGATGCATCAATGTAGAGAGAAGATACCCTGATTTTTTCACGTTACGCTACGGGATCTTTTCATCGCATCGTAAAATAATTATTTTTGACTGGTTTTTTCACGTGTCGAATCAAGGACTCGCACATCCAATACAGACCTCCTAATCACATAAACAGGTTAAAATAAACTCGGATCCTTGAATTTAAACCCGAAGCGAGTGCACTGAGTCGCTCGACCATGAGTGAACTACTTTTAAAGAGCCTGAATACTGACAATGAAGAACCCAATGAATTGATGTTTCCTTTCGCTTCAGTGAGCTTTTTATTTGGTCCGTGGACGCTCGGATTGAATTGAAGCTTTGGTTTGGAGGCCAAATTCCGTATAATTCGAGGGGAACAGGGAACACCAGGAATAAGTTTATTACTTTCCTTCAATTTGGTTCTTTCCCTTATTTTAGGAGAGGGTATATTATCTGGTCTCTTAATGAAACAAATTTTTATTAGTTGATTGAGCCACATGGAGCCGCGGTAGTAAATTTCTGACACCGGCACGAAACCATAAAATCCTGTCTCGTAAATTAGATCAAATACTTATTCCTAATATTAACTGAAGTTCCGGTATAGGAGGAGGAAATGAGTCAGATGAAAGAAGTGCCTAACCTAGTATTGAATCACTGAAACTTCAGAAAGTGAAGGGATTGAAAATTTTCTGATGTGCTGAAAATGATTCCTGCGGGGAAACTTCTGGACTGCTGGGTGAAACGTCTCTTTTCTGGTGATCGAGGGCTACAGAAATGTATAATTTTAGATGCTTCAAACGTCCTACTGGAAAAATTTACAAACAAGTATGTAAAATATTTTGAGTGGCTCAATAACGTCAACAAAGTAACAAATCCAATGCTAACATGTGTCAATTCCCCATCCAACGACAAGGAAAAAGCTAAATTTTCTACAAGCATCGCAAATTCCTCTGTGTTTTGAGGAAGAAAATTAAATTGTTATTGCGGCTGATGCTGGGAACCAACAGATGATAACGCGAGTAAAACAAAATAAACCTAGAATACAGAGATATTTTGCCGCAAGGAGGCATTCATTCTGTAAGGTGTACCAAACGTGACGAAAAAAGAGTATCAAAACAGAACGCAGGTACCTCTGGTTAAAAGGACGATTGGAACTGAATAATTCCAACGATGTCATTATCAATTTATTTATTATTAATTTTTCTAATGACATTGTATCTTGTTAGAGGTCGAGCCGACCACTAATTTGCCTCCAAAAATTCATATGAACTTGGCAAAAGCATGTTTAGTGCAGTAGCTGTAGAAGTCACCTACTATAAGCGTCATTAGTAGCTGTACTTTCTCCACGATATGAATATATAAATAAGCTGGCGAAAATATCGGGTAAACTAGATCGTTAGAACGACGATCTAATCAGGAAAACACTCTCGTAAGAGCGCATCATGAAAGAGCAATACAGAAGTATATTATCTTCCTAAACATTAACAAAAAATAGGATCTCGATATTCTATTGTCTCTGAAGTACTAAGTACTTATATAATAATATTTATCAGTAAGATTGAAACAATTCTCTTCCTCAAAAGGAAACATTCTTTCATAATGATTGAAATGATCAACTGATCTACAGCTGGGGCATTGTTTTATTGTCGATTATGGTCGATACTGTCGGTTTTAAATTGATTGATTTTTACTACAAAAATAGAAACGTTACTAATTCAAAACTACGAGAAATATTTTTCCAAATTTTTAGTTCCTCCTATTTATTTTTTCATATTTCATTTTTCAAATGCACGTGGCAAACTTTTTGGTACCAACCAAAAATATCTTGGACGAGCCTAACTGGACAAAATGTAGCTTTATTTTGTGTAAATATGTAGCATTTTCGTAAAAGTATGTTGTTTGCTTAAGTTACGGTTCTGAGTTCAATCTAAACTAACAATAAGTTGACTCTATAACATAATTGGTTTTTACTACGCACACGCTACTTTTGAAGTTCAAGCACAAATATGTGGGCGGAACTAGGAATTTTTCTAGGGGCAGAAGGGCACCGAACAAGGGGGGTCCGTGGGGCACAAAAACACTCCGCCATGGGGATCTTTGGGACGCCCATAGCTCCAAGCAAGAGTTCTGAGAAAATTCCTAGTTTTAAAGGGGATTTTGGGGGGCTTCCCTGGAAAATGCCTGGAAAATTTAGAAAAATTGAGTAGTTTAAGGAGCCGTTTTGAGTTAATCTCACCGAAAAATTGATCAAATTACACTTTCCAGGATGGAAAATATGTCACACACTTACATGACGAAGTCAATTTCATTTCATGAGAGGGGTCAATAGAGTTTCGGGGAGGGTAGCCCCCCGGCCCCCTAGTTCCGCACCTGTTCAAGTACTGGGGCACGGAAATTATATCTACTTCAAAATGAGCAATTTCTTTTACAGTATGAGGATCGAATATTGCTTTACAGAATTACGTATAACATTACAAAAAATCCAAGCATTTACGGAGAGCAAATAAATGCAACAACGAGTACGTCCTCAGAAAATTGTCATAGGTCAGTATATGATGTACAAAATTGGAGATGACAATAAGCCACCAAATTTGACAACATCTCACCGGGAAACGCAAAACAAAGTTGATTGATGTTTACCACGGTGATCTCTTACAATAGGTCTTGAGTTCTCCCGACTGTACGGACTGGATTGTCAAAGCGTAAATTTTACGGTTGACTGTGAGGTTATGTTATGGCTACCGTACGCACTGCGCAAGCCTCACGCAAACGAAATTTTTTCGGGCCTCAAGCGATCAAAACAAGGAGCCAAATGAAAGAATCAGAGAAAAACTGGGCTGGCAAAAAATGGGCAGAAAAGTAATGTTTCACTGAAGATTTTATCCTCCCATGATCTTGTCGTTCCACAGAAAACTAACATTTTTTATATGGAAGAATTTCAAATAACGTCATCATTTCTCATGCTCTAAAATTGCAAACTCGCAAGATAGGATCAGCTGAACTTCAAAATTACGCCAAAATGTGTGTTTAATCAGTTGCGTTAACTCACATGAAATATAAGTATATTGTTGAGAAATGTGAGGAAAAGGGAAACAGTCATCATCATGGGCAGAACTTAGATCTTTTTGTGGGGGGAGCACCTATGAAGGGCACTCATCAAG